TTTTTTAAAAAACTAAATAAGTTAAAATTTATTTTTTTATTCTAACAAAATTATTCTTAATTGATTAAATAGATTTTTTGATTTAAAAATAAAATAATCAAATTCATTTTAAAGTGTTAGATAAAATGATTCCTTTCAATCTAAGACAATTGGTTGAAATTATTCTTTAATTTCAGTTTTGAAATAAATATTTACAGTTACTAAAAATTGATTTAATTTTTGGATGCGATTGATATTAATGTTCTTATTAAGTAATTTAATATTAGTTATAAATTTTACTATATCTCAAATAAAGTGTAAAAATAATATATAATACTTGTAATTAGAGATTGAAACCAATTTATTTTTTATAATAATTAAATGTTAAAATATTTTAATTTTTAATATGTTTTATAAATTATTTATACTTATAATTTAAGTGATAAAATATATAAGTATACTTATTATTTATAAAAATTATAATTAATATATAAGTAATTTTTATTTATATATAGATATATTATACACAGATCATATGAAATAGCTAATATTATCATTATTTTACCAGTATATTACCTGTATAATGATCATATAATAGATATAATATAATGAATAAGAATTTTTCACTAAAAAAATTCTAAATTTATGAAATATAAAGTAAAACTAAAGATAAAGGGATATGATACTAATGATAAATATATGTTATGTGATCTAAATATATATATTCTATATAAACTTATAAATTTTCTAATATATAAGTTATTATAAAATTTATTATTTAATAATATATTTTGCAATTAAAATAACTATAATAATTAAATTTATTTTTAAGTATTTATTAATTCTGTAACTATAATATATTAATATTAATTAGTTAATATATAAAATTACTTAATTATTATATTAAATATTAATAGAAAATTACAAATTAAAAGATATAAAACTATTATTTAAGAAATTTGTCAAACTTATAATTATATTTTTATTTTAATTTTAATTAAATATAAATAATCTTATTAAAAATAATAATAAATTAATAATTATTTTTGTAATTAAGGAATTTTAAAGCTAATATACTAAATTTTAAAATATAAAAGCTTTTTTAAAAAAAATTAATAATATATATTATTAAATCTTATAATCATTATTAAAAATATAAACTATTATAAAATATTAATTTGTTTACTATTTGTACAGATTATTATATTAAATAAATTCAGTTATCTGATTAAAGAATAATATGAATTGATATTTTTTGTATTTATAACATTAAAATCATAAAAAAATAATTTACTGTATTCTCTATTAAAAATAATAAATTATTTACTTTTTAGTTTATTAATAAAAAAATTTAATAATATTTATAATCTCTTAAATTATAAGTATAAAATTATTTATAAAAGTAGTATTTTTAAATTTTTAAAATTAATAATTATTAACATATTTTTTAAATTTTTAATTTACCTAAAAAAAAAATTTAGTTTATTGAATTCATTAAATCAAGACCTATTAAATAGTAAGCAAATTATAGGTGAACCATTAAAAAGATAATAAATTCTTATATTAAATAATTAATTATCAAATAGTTTAGAAAAGAAATATAAAACCAAGAAATGAAGAGAACCAATTTGATTATCAATAAAGTGTTAATACCATTGTATTGTTACATTGGATATAATTCCACCCGAAAAATTATAACTTTCGCTCATAATGCGTCTTCGATAATATTGGATGCTAAGTTGTTTTAATTAAAATTTTAATATAAGTTTTTTTAGCACAGTTCGTCTTCCTTTATTTATACATACACCTTAATTCCTTCCCTTTTTTCCTTGCGAAATTATCGCTTAACTTCATACTTTTCTGAAACTTCGTTAATTTAATATTTTCATTTATTTATATTGTCTGATTATCAAATAATTAGCACTTAGTGTTAATAATATTGAGTTACGAAAGTGTGGAGCGCCGAACACTGATTAATTAATTTTATTGAATAATTTTTACATCATAATTATTCGATTGCTTATTAATAAAAAAATTGTATACATTTTTTTCGAAGTCACGTGATAAATCTTTTCATATAAAACTTTTTTGGTTAAAAATTTAAAGGGTGACCCGGCCGGGATGACGCGTATCAGTTTTTTTTTTTTTTTTTTAGTTTTATATTTATTTATCAAAATCATTATTCAGAGTAATGTATGATTCGTAATAATCTGAATAACTAATTATAAGTTTTAAATTTAGAAAAAGAACCAAGAAATTAATAAAATACAGATGTAATATTGTACATTTATAATTAAAAATTTTTGTGAAGATACGTCTAGAATTAACTTTTAGTATATCGAAAGTTTATTTCAATCCACATTTTTAATGAGGTAGAAGTCTTTTTATTTACAAAATATTATTCGATATGCTGCGGTTAAGGCTTTTTTATTTATTTTGAGTATTGCTTTCCTTTTTTTAAGCTCTTTCTTTAAGTTACTTATTACAGGTTAAACGCTAAGATATATCCTTGCAGCAAGTACAATATTTTTCATAATTTATTTTTTATTGTTTTTTTTTTTTAAAAAAAAAGTACAAATATTTGTGAATGTTCCAATCCGTAACAAGTTCCATTAAGCAAATATTGATAGGGCGTAGTTAAATGAAAAATTCATTTAAAAGACCTTTGCAATAGAAAGGGAAACCGACGGTGTCTCGTGACCATAGTACTAGGAAAAAATATCGAAAATCTTTTATATTAAAAAGTATTCTTCTATAAATAATGATTAAATTAGTTAATGTTTATTTTTTTAAAGAATAAATGCCATGGACGGATAGTTGGCTTACCTCAAATTTTTCATCGTGCAGCATTTTAGTTTTCAAATTAACATGGTTAATTTCTGTAAAATTTATTCATGTTAGACATAACTTTTTTTTTGTAAAAAAAAATATATATATATATTCAAAAAGCTTTACTTGAAAAAATTATGTTACGTACCGAGATTTCAGTGCTTTACCTTGGATTTTTTTATATATTTATATTACGAGTTTTGAAAAAAAAAAATTTTAAATTGATATTTGAACGCATCAACCCGAAACTTTTTAACAAGTTTAAAATTATAATCATATAATAAAATATCTTATCTTTCATCCTTGAACGTTACAACCTTTTTTTGTAATTGTTGTAATAACTGTTGTAGTTTCAAGATAAATCTCATATTATTATCATCAATTTTTGAGATAATTTTTATTTCTCGTCTATTATAAAAATATTTTTGCGAGAAAGGGAATGCTTGATAAGAATTTTCATCTATAATTTCTAAAACATTTTTCTATTATTACCGAAGAATCAACTTTGCCAAATCACAGATTGAATTCCTCGAAATCTAGTTTATAAATATATTATATATACAGTATATATATGGGAGACAAGCTATTAAAATCACTTTACGGATCATATGATTACTATGTTTGTAGCTCGATTAACCTCCCATATTATTAAAATTTGTTACAATTGTGCTTACTTACACTTGATATAATTTAATAGAAGATTTTACTTTAAAAAAATTATATATCTGAATAATAAGTTCAAATACTTTTTAAAATTAAAAAATTCTATTAAATATTAATTATAGTTAGTTAAATACAGAATGTAAAGATTTTAAAAATTAAATAATATACATTAAGCATTTTGAATTTGATTTTATTTATTTTATTATTATTTTTAAAGAAATTTCATCTATGATATTGTATGATATCCAATATATTACCTTGCATTTGTCACCGCAATAGCAAACCCGAAGGTGTAATACGACATTTACCTGTCAACTATCGTCATTCTCATGCTTTTCATCAGTATTGTCGAACAAATGTAAAGACTTCAACTTTTCAATTAGAAACATCATTTAGGAAGTAATCCATCAGTTTCCACTAGATCCTCTTCTCTTACATATTTCCTCTAATGATGACACTAATGTTAATATTTATGCTGTTTCTAACAATGCAATAATTGAACGGAACTTTTCTTTTACAAAGGAAGACCACACAAATAATACCAGCTTGATCTAGGATCAAAAAATATTTTGTTAATATAGTTGAAATGGAATACAAATATTAGAACTTGTCAAGAACGTGAAAATTCAGGAAGATCAAAAATTTTGGCAAAAGTTATTTGTAATTTTTAGAGGAGAGGAAATTAGCGTTTGCTTTTTTAATAATAAAAATATTGTAATTATCTTGTAACGAATTTCCTTATTTAAATCTTTAACTCAATCAGGTGAGCAATATCATGTGATATATTTGAAAATCAGTTGAGACTTATATTAAATTAAAATTAAAAATAATGTCGGTGCTGCTATAGTATAGCGGTATAAAGCACTTGACATTCAACTCTCGAGTAATGGGTTCGAGTAAAACTAAACCCAAAAAAAAATAAAAAAAAAAAAAAAAAAAAAATTTTTTTTTCTTTAAAATTATATTTTATTTTAAAGTTACATAACGCGTAAGAATCCTATATATTCCCTATATCCCCACCTTTATTTTATTTAATTTGCAAACCCTTTTCTTTATTTTTTAACATCAAGCATCATTTTATCAGTTATTTTTGTTTTCAACCGGGATTTTTAAAAGTCGTGTGTGAAGAAAATAGGTGGACGGTTAAACGTGAGAGACAACCAGCGGGATTTTTTCGCTTTTCTTTCCTTCTATGAAAAATTTAAAAAAAAAAAAATTGAAAATGAAAAGATTAATATCGAAGTTCTTTATTTGTAGAACAAAGGAGTATATATATAACAGTATTCGGAAATTTTAACTTACGCCCAACGTCCCTGCTGAAAAGGTATGTTTTACATATATTGTTGGCAAGCCCTTGGATTAGTCCTTTGTGTGAGTATGTACGGATCATACTGCCTCGAAGTGTTGCGGTCGACGCCAAACATAAAACTCTTTCCAGGGTGCTTTTAGGAAATGACTGGGCGGAAGATCTTTGCTAACGTTATTTTAGATTTGTATTGCTTTTAATGCACTTTAGGTACATTATGCTCTCAACGTCCTTGTTGAAGAGGAATGTCTTTACATATATTGTTGGCAAGCCCCTGGATTAGTCCTTTGTGTGAGTATGCCTCGAAGCGTTGCGGTCGACGCCTAACATAAAACTCTTTCCAGGGTGCTTTTAGGAAATGACTGGGCGGAAGAGCTTTGTTAACGTTATTTTATATTATTTTTAAATATCATTTAGGTTCTTTTTTTTTGGAGATTCTAACCTTACTCAACGTCCTCATCGTAGTAGATGCAAATAGCATTGATCACAAATTTTTTAATGTCAGTATAAAAAAGTATCTTATTCGATCACGAAGGTTTAGTATGAGTTGAAACAAGAGAATGTTCAATAAAACAACCCTTTCAACTTACTTTTGTCACTTAATTATTCGGAACGTGCAAGAGATTTGGAATCCAAGAGACATCCGAACGACTTAAAAATTAATCGATTATTCAAATTATTTAATGAATAGTAATGCTACTTTTGAATAAATTTTTTTTGTAAATGCCTACAGGTTTTTTTTTAATAATATTTTTCAAATGCTATTTTAAAATCATTTTATAATTCAGACATTTTATCGAATAAAAAGCCAACTAAAAAAAAAATACTGAAAAGAAATTTTGAAATCGAAATGATTAAATTGATAGAACAAAGAATACCATTCGATTAATATGAAATAAATTGTTTCTATAAATTTATAAAAGGGATTAGCCAAGGAAGAATATGCCAACATTAGTTCAGAAAGCAATAAATTGTCTAGCATCATAAAGACAAAATCCCAAACCTCGAACAAATAATGAGTTAATTTGCGCGGTAATTCGATGTAATTATTTATTATTTCAATGCATAAAAAATTGATGTATTTTTTTTTAAATTTCAAATTAAAATCAGTTTATTTATCAATATTAAAAAATAAAATTTAAATTTACAAACTTAAAAATATTAAGAATTTGTATTTAATATTATTTCACTTTTTTATATTAAATATAAGATAAATTAATTAATATATTAACAAATTATTCAGAAAAATTTACTTATAAATTTAAAATATAACTAATACATATGATAACTAAATACAACTTTCTAAAATTAGTTATTAAATATAAAAGAAAAATTTATTAATATATCAAAAAATTTAACTTATAATTTAAAACTATAATTAACTACTATAATTGAAATTATAGATTATAGATTATAAAATATTTAATGTTTTAATAATAAATACTAAAATAAATATTAGTAAAAAATAAAATAATATTATAAAAAAAGATAAAAATTTAATTTAGATAGTGATTAATTAATTAAATAATATATATATTTAACATACTATAATAAAGGAGGATCAATGTTTATTGTAAAAAAAAAAATTTAGTGTGATTTTATTAGTATAAATCAGATTTCTAGACCTTTGAGTGATGAAAATTTCCTTTTTCTCAAAAAAATCTTCTTTTTAGGTGATTTGTATAATGCTAATGATTGGCTATTATTATATACCTTATTATTACTTTATACTAATACTAATACTAACACTAACATTAAAAGATAAAGAATAAGGTAAAGAATAAGGTAGAGAAGGAATCTACTTCAAGGAATAAAGGTTGTTTAAATATTTTTTTTTAAAAAAAAAAGATTCAGATCGATCAATTCTTTATAGCAGCATAGCTCAAATTTATGATAAAATTGTTTTTTATTCTAATATTATCTATTCTTATTGTTGTTATTTTATTTAGTTAATAATAAATTAACTAATTCATAATTATTAATTAATAATTATTTATTTATTTTTTTGATTTATGATTTTATTGGTTAGATCAGTAAATTCACCACTTTGGTTTTCTATAGTGATGCATTAAGGTTGGTAATTTTTTATATATTTTTTTGATTATTATAATAGCTTTTCTTCAATTTTGATTAGAACTTACTCTGACAATTCAGCTCATCATGATAATGTAATCAAATATGTATGATGATTTGAACTTTTTTTTACATTGATTAGGATTATTAATTCTTTTTATTTTTATTATTATTATATTTTAATAAAAATAAATAAATTGCAGTGCGGTAAAAAAATAATAAAGAAAATTAAAAAAAATATCAGGAGGTGGTTAAAAAAAATTAAAAAATAACAAAAAATAAAAGGGATTAGAAGGAGTAAAAAATAATAAAAAAAAATTAAAAAAATAAATAGATCAGAAGGTGGTAATAAATAAAAATATATATATATAAAAATATAAACATAGTAAAAAAAATTCATATCTCATTAATAATTATATTTTTTTTAATTTTGAAGGCTAAGATCACATAGATGTAGCATCTCAGATGAATCCATCAGCTTATCACGATTATGCAGTCAGATACAATTCTCTTTTTGCATTATTATTACTAATTCTCTTATTTTTTTATTATTGTTAATTATATTTCTCTTATTATTAATTTTTTTTTATTCTTTAAGATGATTTCTTTAGATTCAAATTAGTCAGTTTATTATAATGATGCAGTTAGATATATGATAAAATTTTCTTTTTATTATTATTTCTATTATTTATTACTAAAATTTTACTTTGAGTTTTAGGAACAATAAGTCTCCAGTATATTAAAAATTATGATTATTATTAATAATAATTAAAAGTAAATAAAACCAAACAAAAAAAATGAAATTAAAAAATAATAAAAAAAAGAATAGAGGAGGGAGATGAATAAAAAAATATAATAAAATTAAAAAAATTATAAATTAAAGAGGAATAAATAAAGGAAAAAAATGATCAGAAAAATAAAAATAATATTAAGAATAAAAAATAGCAAATAAAATGAAATTAAAATTAATAAAAAAAAAAGAACAAGGAGAAGGTGAGATAAATAAAAAAATAATAAAAATAAATAAATTAAAAAAAAGAACGGAAGGTAACAAATAAAAAAAATAAAAATAAATAAACCAAAGTGGGAATAAAAAATATAATAAAAAAAAATAAATTAAAAAAAAAATAAAAAACAATGACAAATTATTCAAATAAAAGAATATTTATATATTATAACAAAACTAATTTCAAATGTTCTTATATTAAAAGAATTATATAATAATAATTTAAATATAAAAATAAATTTTATACAATAAATAATACTTAAAAAAGATCATTTAACAGTGATAGATTCATCATATCTTAATATAATCTAGTTCTTAAATAAAAAAGTTTAAAACTAAAGATTAATTATAATTTATTATATTTTATTATTTAATATATATATATAATATAAGTATATAATCAAGTTATTGTTATAAAACTTTTATTAAAATTTTTAATAGATTTTATAAATAAATTATATTTAATATAATAATTTATTAAAATTATAAAATAAATTATAATAATTTTTTATTCTTCTTAAATATTATAAATTTGTTTTTTATTTATTATATAATATAAGCAATTTATAATAAAAAGGAAGAAAATTATCAAAAAATTAGAAACTAATATAATTTTTTAGTAAAATAAATCTAATTTAATATTAAAAAAATTTTTTTAAGTTTTTTCTTTATAATGCAAAATATTTAAATATTTAAATATTTTATTTATTAAATTATTTTATTATAAATTACTAAAATTAATATATAAAAAATATTAAATAGGTTTTAATTAGATCTATTTTAAAATATTTCTATTATTTTTATATTTATAACTTAAAGCTTTATATTTTATACTTTAGTAATTAGCTTATTAAATAGTAATTTAATATATATAATATTTTTAATTTTAAGATAGATTTTTAAGTTATAATTTTAAATCAGATAAATATATTTTACATATTAATATTTACCTGATATAAAGTTATAATCTGAATTTAGCCAAATTCTTTGGATTATATATTATAAGATTCTATTAATTTTATTTTATATTTTATTTTTTAAAATAAATTAAAATGTAATAAATGATAGCAAATTATATAAAATTAGCTTTATATTTTAGTAAGGTTGTTAAATAAAACTTAAAAGTTTTATATGTCATCTAAATAGAAAATGTAAATTTAGCAAAATTATATTAAACTTTATTAAAAAATCTGCATAAATTGTAAAGCAGGCAAATTTGCTTATGAATATAAAATAAAAGTATTAATTTTTTAATAAAAAATAAAATATTAATATTAATAATAATTATTATATAAAAATATAGTTTAATATATATTTATCAACTTTATTAGAAGAAATTTAAGTTTATTAAGAAGTCTTATAAATAATTCAATTTTTAAAATTAAGTTTTGAAAAATTTATTATAATAATTTTTTAAAAATTTTCTTAAAATTCATATATTTATTCTTTTTTAAAAAATGTTTATAATATTAATTTTATTTAATATAAATTGTTATTTATTTATTTTTTTTTAAAAAAAAATCTTTTTTCTTGATTTAGATAACAAAAAAAATCTATCAAATATAATAAATATTATTCTTTTTGCAATTTAATATTTACAATTTTTTTTAATTTTTTTTAAATATAAATTTGAATTACTATTTATAAAATCTTAAACAAAAATTTTATTTGGATTATATAATTAAATAACTTTTATATTTTCAATAAGTTAAATTAATCTTTTGTTGAAATAAATTATAAACATTACACTAATCTACATTTTTTTTAAACAAAAAAAAATATTTTTTTGCTTTTCTAATCAAGTACTATCAGATTTTCAATTTGAATTTTATTATCTTAAAATTATCTATCATTTATAGTTCTTATAAAGACTAATTTTTCAAAGTTTATTTTAGGGATGTTAAAAAGTTCTATAGAACTAGATTCTAAACAGTCCTATGAAGTTCATTTTAGTATAAAGTTCTTTAAACTATAAAACTATGATGCTAGGATCACAATCCTATAAAAATTAGGACTTGTAATACTAGAATTGTAATTTTATAGAATTAGGACTTGCAGTTTTAAGATAGTGGTCCTGTAAAAAAATAATTAAAATTAAACTATTTTTTTGAATGATTTTTTATTATTTAAGTTGAACGATTTATCATCATTCTTCTTAAATAATTTTTTTATTGTTCAAGTCAAATGATTCATTATCATTTTTTTTGAACGATTATTTCTTTTATCATTCAAATCAAATAATTTGTCATCATTCTTCTTGAATGAATTTTTTTATTATTCAAGTCAAATAATTCATTATCATCCTTCTTGAATGATTATTTTTTTATCATTCAAGTTGAATGATTTATCATCATTCTTTTTGAATAATTATTTCTATTATT